ACAAATCAAAAAGAAAATGAGAAACTTATTGTTAATTTGATGATGTATGTAAAGAAAAAGTTCTTGCACAATTGAAGTTTTCATTGTGAGAAAATATACGATTGGTTGATGACTATCATAATTTTACTCTAAAAGTAAATACAATACAATTGTAAATATCTACATATATCCATTGGTTTCAAAGGACATTTTTCTTAACTGGTTGCAAAATATCTCTTAACTTGGACATTTTTAAATAGATTGTATATAAAAAAAAAATTATTTGTCTTACTTCCGTTATTCTCAAGTATAACATTCTTTTTACGATGTTATTTCATTGTTGTGATTTATCAGACAACAAAAGAATCATCTAGTAATATGGGGATTTTTCACGTGCATAGAGTTGCATTGCCCGTGCTGTGGTGAGTGCAGTTTTACTTCGTCCGCATTGACCTCAGAAGAGAGAACGAGTAAAAGAAAGAGAAAAAGTATTTCAGCTGCTTTATTTTGTTTGTTACTAGTAAAGAAGAAAAATGCAGTCTGTCTTACGCTCAACTCGTATTTTACCGCAATTATCATGTCGTATTCTTTGCAATACTATTCGAATGGATTCAACTTCATCGATTTCAGCTAAACTCAAAACTGATCATCAAGATATAAATACAGCTTATCAAGTTTGTTATGAATTGGATTAGATCATGAATTGAAAAATTTTTCGTAAATTGTAGAAATATCTTTCAGCAGAAGGTAATATAAGTGAACAACAACGTTGGGCTAATGAATTTCGATGGGAACTGGCTCGCCATACTGTCGGTGAAGAACTTGTTGTTTATCCAGCTTTTGAAAAAAAACTAGGTGCTGAAGGAAAACGAATAGCTGATGCAGATCGAGCTCACCATCAAGAAGTATATTGATTTTAAATTCTATTCTTATTATTTCTTTGTTTTTTGTTTTTCATTTAAAAATAGGTAAAAAGCCTTTTACATTTACTCGAAACATCATCAGTCACCGATTCACATTATCGTTCAACATTTGATAAACTGATGAAAAAGTTCACTGCCCATGTTAAAGGGTATGATTCTTAAACATTGGTCTTTCTTTTTTCAATTTTAATATTTTTATAAAAAAATTTAGGGAAGAAGAAAAACATTTAGCTAATTTTGAAAAAGCTATTTCACCTGAAGAAAGTGCTTCACTTGCTCGATCATTTGAACGAACTAAAATGTTTGCTCCAACTCGGTATTTTACTCTTTTTTCTTCTTTTTTTGTTTTATCATCTTCGATTTGTTAATAGAGCACATCCAAATGCACCGAATAAACCACCTTTTGAAACTGTTGCTGGTCTTCTAACTGCACCATTAGATAAACTTCGAGATTTGTTCGAAAAATTTCCTGAAAAAAAATGAAAATTTTCAGGTATTCAAGCCATTACTGTATAAAAAAAAGACAAGCTTAACGTAGTCATATTCTTCTTGTTTTTTTTTTTATAATAAACAAGCTTTATTTTTGTTTAACAAGTGTGATGTTGTTTGTAGTTTGAATAAAAAAGAAGTTACGGACCAGTCTTTCCTATAATATTAAATGATGGATGCTTGTCAGACATCATCCGTATTTCTAACTATATCCTTGACCGAATACCTACATTTTAGGTTATCGTCATATATTGTATTTGATACTAACTAAAACTAGCTGAGGCATTAGTAGACGTCGTAATTTTATTTATGGATAGTACTAACAAATAAGTCATTTTGTAGGTGTCAATTGCTGACTCTAATGGCATGTGAATCTTTAATCATTCGTGATTACTCTCACAGGTGTGACTGCGTAGTCATTATGGAGTCTAATTTGACCTATATTTTGAGTTTTTTGGCTTTGAAACCAATCCGTAAGATTTGACAAGAAACTTAGACATCGACAATTGACTAGCGATTAGAGAAAGAGAAAAGTTCGAAAAGTTGACTATGCGCTGGTTGAGAAACAAAATTGTTCAAGGTAGGTCGATACGGACATTCAATAGCTACGAAAGGTTATTATAAATAATTCAAGAGTAGAGCATATAAGTTTTCATATGTGGAATTCGTGTTGAACTTTTATTTTCTGTTCGAAAATAAAAACAATTAAGATAGATAAGAAATATCTCGATCTTATTTATATTGGATTCGATTCTCAGTAATCTTGTATCTTACATAAACCATCGTTTTTATTTTGAAAATATCAATTAAGCAACTACTATTTCAGCTTTGTATCTATCTTATTATCTTTACTGAAATAAAATATGACATGATATTTTGACTAAAAAGTTTCAATTTTTTAATTCAACTTGACAACTTACACACGGTATATTTTTCTGAAATTCGAATTGCAAAATATTTTTGAAGTTCTTTTATTCTATGGACGAACATGCAAGCTATTTTAAATATTTCCAATTTTGATAACTAAATGCAAGCCAATAATACACACCAAAGGGTTTTAATCATAAATACTCGACGAAAACATACATTTTTAAATTTCGAAGTTAAATATACCGGCTTATACTTGATTTTTAGTCTTACAGATATTTACATACTATCCTTTTGCATATTATGTATGATATATGACGCTTATGTTAATACCTAAGTGTTTGTTCCGTGTATATTTTCAAGTTAATCAGCATTTCGCTTAATTCTACATGTCTGTCAATGCCAAAAGACGGTATCTAAGAAAATTACTAGCATTGGAATTTTCAAAAAAAGGCAGGTGGAAAAAAGCTTATAACTTGCGAACGAAAAGTCATAGCGATCTGCGGTTTTCAGCAATCGATAGAAGATTACGAGGAATGGTGTGTCAATCATTATACTGGTCTTACATAAGACCCTCGTTCACTCAATATATTAGAAAATGATCTCAAATTTTGACTAAATAAATACCATAATCTAGACTTCATATCTATGCAGTAACATCGTATTTAGGTCGTAGATATGAAAGGAAACAGTCAAAATTTGACGAACAAATGATTTTCATATAGTAAGTATTTTAGAACAAATCTTCCCAACTTTTTCAAGAGAAATGCAGAGCTTAGCAATATTTTCATGGTCTCTTCTCATTCATATAATCAAACTATGATATAATTGCATAGATATGAAGTCTAGATTATGGTATTTATTTAGTCAAAATTTGAGATCATTTTCTAATATATTGAGTGAACGAGGGTCTTATGTAAGACCAGTATAATGATTGGCACACCATTCCTCATAATCTTCTATCGATTTCTGGAAGCCGCAGGTCGCTATGACTTTTTGTTCGAAATTTATAAGCTTTTTTCCACCTGCCTTCTTTTAAAATTCCGATACTAGTAGTAAAGCGATTCTACGTCAACATGTAGGCTTTTCCTATCTTGTAGCATACATCCTAGGATTTTCAAACCTTGAATCTTTTGGTTGTATGCATGTTTATTTATTTCTCATTAAAAATAATCTTGATGTTCATTAGCTACACCGCGTTAGCTCAAGAAGTTTTTTCAGTTTTTCAAAAATTTTCAATAGCTATTAATATTTACATATACATCTGTCTTATAGCTACAAACCTTATATTACGATTAGACTACAACGTATTCATGTTTTTTATATAGGACAATGGGTGATGTGTACAAACATATACATATTCAGGCTTTTCGCATGGTAACATGAGTTTTGTTTTTTTCGTAATTGTGAATAGTAAGATCTGAAGCACATGTTCGTTCATGTTAAACATCAGTCAATACTTGCAAATAAATATAAATAATAATTAACTTAAGTATTCAAAATCACACTGTCGCTGGAGTATATGAATAAATTAAATATATCTACGAATAATCGGTGATCACATACAAAATATTTTGCTATGTATACGCATCTATAGAAAACAGCTAGAATATGTAAATACTCGTTCATCCAAGAATATGCTACATTATTGAATAAGAAACATAGATTAGAAATATAATTTCCTCGTTTAAATACTAACATGTCATATATATATATATATCCGAAATATAGAATGTTTTTTGATTCAATAAAAATTTAAATAACAACTAACAAACTTAGCAATTTGAATATGTTAGAGTTGTATATAGTAATTATGAAAATTTTCAAGTATGAATTGAAAAGAAAAACAGCTTCAATACGACATTATTCACCTTGAATTTCATTATTTTTTTTTCTATATTAAAACAAAGAAAAAGATGAAGAAACATGCCAAATATTGTGTTAGAATAAAAAGATATTCAATAATAAATAGTCATTCATCAACATAATGCTACACTCGAATATTTACTTTCACTTACTATTTTGTTTTTCATATATATATATGTCAAAAGTTCATCGATCTTTTCTTTTTTCCCTAGATTTATTCTATTCAGACAAGTCTATTTTTCTTATATATTTGATAAGTATATGAGTGTTGATAACTGCAATAGCCTGTCATAAAATTATTAAAATTTATATTTAAAAAAGCCAAATTTCTGTTTAGTTATTTATGATATGCACTACTTTGACATTAGATGGTCAAGTTAAATACTTTCTTGTTGCAATTTACAAGTAAATATTGTCTAGAGATAAAGTAATTTCTATCTAAAACTATCTCGATAGATGCCATCTATCTTACTAGATACATGAAAAAGCCCGACAATAATAAACACATAAAACCTAGTGCCTATTATTATGGCAAGTCGTCCCGATATATTTGCAGTTCTTATTGCGGTTCTATTTTTAATATCATTATTTCTCTTTGTCAGGAAGATTAGATGTACCTTTCGGTATTTTAGACACCTTAATATTAGATATATTTAAGAGAAGAAACAAACGAGTGTTAAATGACTTCTTTCTAGGTATATGAAAACCAAAAAAAAAAATGTGCAAATATCATATTTTCTATCTTGTAAGGATACGAAAATATTTTTAAATAGTAATATATATTTCAAAATTAGAATAATATTTATTTTGATTATTTAGAAAAGCCTTCATTTGTTATTTGTTATGGAAATACAAATAATTATTAATATAAACATCATGTTATTAATCGGTATTTGTATTCATATTCAAGCAACACCTATTTTTCATAAACACAATTTCATTGTTGAATACGAAAATAATACAAATGAATTTAGTCTGCAATTTGTTATATTATCATGTACATCAGATAATGATTGCCAGATGAATAGTTGGTGTAATGAGTACAAATGCGAATGTAGAAAAGGTTGGTTAACATGGTACAATAATGAACAATGTTCTTATAAACAACTATCAAAATTTTCTACTTTTATTTTATCGTTTCTTGTTGGTGGTGCTGGTGTTGATTGGTTCTTTTTATCACGTAAAGATAATTTATATATATTAGTTGGTTTATTAAAGTCTCTTATATCAGTTGCCAGTTGTATTTGGACTCGATTAGCTATAATCATCGGGACTGATACATCAATAAGCATTGCTAGTTGTCTCGGCGCTTGTTTAACTCTCATATCAATTATTTGGTGGTTTATTGATTGGATTCGAATCTTATGTAATGACTTTTTGGATGGTAATGGTGCTCCACTTATTTAATTTTCGTGTTTTATATGAAAATTTAAAATGATTACAATAAAAAACTTTCCTAACATTATAGAGAAATAACTCAGAAATGTCCAGAAAATAAATTAATAATATATTCAATGATAAGAAATATTAAATATGAATATAAATACCAATGTTTAATAAACTCTTCTATGAAACTTCTGCTTGCTGAGGCTTCCACTATACGACAATGAATATAGTTTTCGTAAAATTTCGATGGATTCAAAATGTGCATGTCTACATTCAACAATATTTTATCCGCAAGATCATCTATAAATACATTCCGTTGGGTAAATTCTTCTCGTCAAATGATGCTGCGTGAGATCAAATCGCATGCCTATATAGATATTGAAGTATATGGAAAATGAAGCAGGAATCATTGTTCTGTCAAACATGCAATCAATTGTCACTTTCCCTAAAATGTTGATATGCTCTATGATCTTGACAGATCAAACAAAAGTCTTAGCAAATAGTACAAGCCCTACCAGGTTAAAATATGAAACACGACGTAGCTTCTGTTGATAATCACAGGAAGATTGTTTTATTCTATCTATCTTGGGACGGATTTCTTTATCTCCATTTTACTTAGTCCTCTAGAAGGACAATAATAAAGTACTTCATACTTGCAAGAAGTCTTTATCAATATACGGTGTGTGTAGGGGGGGGGGGGGGGGGGGGGGACTATATATCGTTGTGCATGTTTTATGTTTTTTTTTATATTTATTGTTGAAAG